GTGGTCTGGGCTCAGGAGTTTAAGCTGCTGCAGCGGCAGCAAAAGATCAAACAGGGCTAGGACTTAAAATGGATTTAAAATCGTTTTATTAGTCACACACAAAAAAACATATGAGATATTTTGTAAACGTTGTAAAGGCACTTTTTTGTAATACTCGTAAAAATTTGTGTTCCAATATTCGTTGTGTTGTGCGTTGAGCAAAGAGGCTGCTGCTCCACATATAATCTATAATCTATAGTCTAGTCTGTTTCAGGAAACATCATTTACATTCAGAGACACAGAGGATATATATTGTTGAACTTAGCTTGCTAAATGGGTTGAGATTTGTATGACCTAATCTATGAGTATTAATTCGTAAAATCGCTTAATTCTGCTCAATAAAACAATAATCGGACTTGTCCGACGCGCTTGTGGCATCCCCAAGGAAGATGCACACAAATATTCGAATAGTTTTTCGAAACTTAAGTAAATGCATTGGGTTGAGTATTGTTCTGAGCCAGTCTTACTATTTGGATGGGAGCAGCAACATTTTCAGCTTATCCGATTCGCTCATAAATGTGGGCTCGCCCCTGTGATGTCGCTGGCCGTTGTGGCCCAGCAGGGAGTGCATCTCGGTGGCGGCTTCCTCGTCGTTGCGCTGACGACTGGCCGCATTCAGCAGTCGCATTGCCTGCTGCAGCTCCTCGTTGCCATACGAGGGTATATTGAGGTTGGCAATCTCGAAGGGAGTGGCCTGAATGCCCACATCGCAGCTGGTCTTGCTGTTGCGCGAATGCGGCTTGCCCATCGACATGCCCGAATAGGAACTGTGCATCAGACTGCCAACATCCAGAGCCACATCCAGCTCCACTGAGGAGCAGCTGAGCGAGTCGTCCCGCACATAGTCACGCTTAAAGTCCATTTGCAGCAAGTCAGTCAGGCCATTGCTGATGTTTTTGGCATGATGATGCGACTTGGGCGGGTCCTTCCGTGACTTCCGCGACTGACGACTCCGCGTGGAGTTGCGCGAGTGACGATTTCCATTTGATTCGTTAGATTTTTGCACGTTCTTGATGAAATTCTCCAGAGCCACCTGCTTGCTGTTCGGCAGCTCCTCAATCTTTGGCCCTTTCCTCACTTCCTCATCATCGTCGTCGTCCTCGCTGAGCTCCTGCTTGACCACCACGTTGAGGTCTTGGATTTTCATGGAAGCGCGTGAGTTCTCCTCCTCGGAGGATGTGGTCATGTCCTGATTCTGCAGAAAGGGAAAGATAAATTCGCCATTCTTTTGCAGAAACTCATTCAGAATCGAGGGATCCAGTCCGGCATTGGCCGTGCGCCGCTTCATGGAGCTGTAGTTGTGCTGCTTCTTGGTGCTGTGGGCGAACACGCCCACTTTGTGACTAGCATTTGGATAGGTTGTCTTCTTCAGGGCAATAACCTGAGACTCCACGGAAGTGCTGCTCTCCCTTCTCCCTCCTGCAGTGCTGTACTTGCTGCTCCTGCCCGTGGCGGCGGCAATGTAATCTCTCCGCCGCTGTGTGCGCTTGTTGCTCGAGGAGGTGCCATGTTTGCCCCGGCTACGCGATGCCACTTTGGTCTTCATTTCGGCAATCTTCACGGACACCTGAGAGTCCACCGAATTGCGTCGTGACTCCACCGAAACGTGTCGCACACTCACACTGATCTCCGAGTCCAGCGAGTTCTTGCGCGGTCCCTGGCTGGAGGAGTTGGCTGTGGCAGCGCCCGTGAGCGCCATGCGACGCTTAACGCACTGCGGCAGATAATGCACCCAAGTGGAACTAATCTCATTCGTCTCGGAGGAGTTCAGATCGTTGACATCAAAGTTAAGGCCCACAGGATCGGTGTGGGTATTGTACAGCGTTATGGACAGCCTGCCCTTGTCCTCGAAGTCCTTGCGCTTGGCCCACGTCTGGGCAATGACCTTGTGCTTGGGCATTTTGACCTCCTCGACGACCTCCTTGCCGCACTTTCTACACAGAAACCAAAAAAGTGTTCAAACTAACATTTCAAAAGCAAACAAAACAAAAGATAAACTTACTTTCTGATATAACGTTTCCAGGTCTCAATGGACGATGGTGTCCAGCACCAGGTGGACATGACAATCCCAGAACTGAAGAGGCACAACAAGTGCAGCTGCAGCACACCCACGCTGGGACGATTCTCAATGCGACAGGAGCTCTTCTCCTCAAAGACGGAAGTTATTTTGCAGCTGCAACAGAGAGAGATTAGAACAAGAATCGAAGAAATAATGAACCATTGCTCACATTATAAACTCCCTGAAACTTGCAGCCCACTCCTCGGCATGCCGGAACTCCGTTACATGGCAGGCAATGGCCACCAGAATGAAGACCAAGGTGAGCAGCGCACAGATGCCCATGCGCATGATGATCAAGTGGATTTTGTTGCTGGCCGATGTTGATTTAATGTCATTGGCAAAATGCTTCAGTCCGAAGAGCATCACCATGCCGCGCGTTATGAAGTAGCCGCCAATGAGAATGACACCGCAGAGCGGTCCCAGCAGCAGGCCAGCCCTCATCGAATGATTGATGTAGCCCACAAAACAGATGCCAACAATGCTATTGCCATCCACCTCGCTGAAGGCCATCGTAGTGATTGTCAACACGAGGGGCAGCGACCAGGCGACCAAATGAAAGTAAGAGCCCTTCTTGTCGATGCGATCTTGCACATGGCCCATGGCGCGCCAGTGCCAGGCATACGTGAGGAACACAAACCAGACCATGCCGGCCGTCAGGAAGTAGTACACCAGCACAAAGATCACAATGCACGAGAGATTCTCGCCAGCGGTGGGCTCTGAATGGCGCAAAGTGCCATCCTTGCGACAGACAATATCCTCGCGGGAGCCGGAAGTGAATTGCAAGAGCCAGCTGGGGATAGAGAGACAGAAATTAGACTCCTGTCGAGCCAGAATGAGGTCCAAAGTGAACTCACCCAATGCAGGCAATAAGGAAGCATAAATTTATGTAAAATACAATCACAGCCGGATACTTGTTGGCATTCTGCCAGTCGATGAAGAAAGTGGCCACCACAAACAAATTGGAGACCAGGCACAGCGTGCCCGCCCATCCAATCAGCTTGTGGATCTGCCGATGCTCATCGTCCGTGTACAGAGGATCCTTGCAGCGCACACCACAGCCCTCGATGTCCGGATAATAGCTGGCCGCAGTCTCGGCCGGCACCAGTGGACTCAGGCACTGGCCGGTTACATTGAATTTCATTCCCCGAGCACCGTTTGTGCATTTCGTTGGAAAAAGCGTTTCGTTGCAGCGCAGGAATTTCGGGAAAAACGTTGTGTTGTATAGAATGCGGCAGGGTTCCAGAGTAATCCGGCACATTTCATACGATGGCAGGTAGACCATGTCCTGGCCGTTGATTTTCTCGCATTTCGGCTTGAAAACAGCGCACAAAAATGGCTATACATGGGAGTGGGAGGGAAAGGTGTTAAAATAAATCAAATTCAACAATTTCAACTGCGAATTACGTACCTGAATAACCGCCCAACATTTTGGTACATGCCGCAGAGCGTAGTAATCGTTGAGCTTCTCGTTGAGCTCTTTCTCGGTGTGAAAATCTGTTAAATCGAGGCTACTCAATTCATAGGGCAATTTGGACCCAAAGCAGGTACTCGTGAGATTTGTGGTGGCATAGCAGCGGCCTCGTCGCACACACTGAATGTGGCGACTATCCAGCCCATCGAACCAGGGCTTATCATCCTTGCCTTTCTTTCCATACAGACGATAATTGAGAGTGCCATTGATGAGCTCCAGTTCCACGTCCACTTGCTTGACACTGCCCGGCGTGGTGCTGCCATACTTAGAAAGGCTGCCTGTCGTCGATCGGACGCAAATGGAGGCCACCCACAGGCAAATGATTGACAGCTCCCAGCAATCCCTGAGGTGCGGGGAGGGTGAACTATTAAATGGTTTCATATAAACCATTAGATATTTACTTACATTTGCATAATGCCTTCCGTGTGTGTCGAGAGTCGGGGGATTAATATTCGCTAATAATACATCCAATTGCAGCCAGCTTTTTGTGAATATCAATTGGCCCCAAGCGGCAGCCGCTCCTTGTTTGGGAGCCACTTGGCGGATAGAATTGCTGGGCGGAGCTCCTTCAAAGCATTGTGCGGATGATTTCGTTATATTCGAGTCCTCCCTCGAAATGGCCTGGTTCAAAGAATATTTTGAATTGATTAAAAATATGGAACCAAAGAGAAAAACAAAAAAAAAACGCGACTCCGCGGCCGAGAATTGAGAACAGTGTGACCGCGGAAATATTGAAAAAATATACAGCAAAAGCCTTAAGAATATACCTTATCATTTAAGGAATATACCGTAAATATACCGTCATAATAATCGTATTCCTCGATTTTTATGTTTTACTTGATATTACTAGCTAGTTAGCAGTTTCAGCACTAAAACTATATTTTTATCTAATTTATCAATCAATTTTTAACAAGATTTGCTAGTTTTCGTTACTTCCTTTTATGGGAATGCTTCCAAATTAAGTTTAAAACTAAAAAGTCAACCAACAAAGATAGCATAAAACCACTTTAATGGACACCCGAATTGAAATATTGATATCAATATATCGATAAATATTTATGCACGCACAAATAATCATCAAGGTATAGTAGAACAAGCGTGGTGAGGTGAGGTGCGGAGGGTTGTCCAACACTAAAACGACAACTTTATTATTTTGCTATTTTTGGTTGGTTCACATTTTTAAGTTTCAACTTAATTTGAGAACATTCCAATAAAAGGAAGTCGTGAAAACATGCCGAGCTTGTGCAGAATTTATTGATAAACCGGACAAAATTATAGCTCAGCGCAGAGAGTCCTAACTTGCTACAATTATTATATAGAACATCAAAATCGGTGAAAATGATTTAAGATCTTCGGTGTATTTACGTCATAATTTTAAAATGAGAAGGTATACTTTGGTATTTTTTTGAAGGTTTTATGTCGCTAATTCCGTGGTCACACTGCATCCATCCCTACACCGCTTCGTTTTTATTTCACGGTCCAACAAAAATACAAAAAGAAAGGGCGCTTGGAGGCTTGGTTCTGAATTGAATTATCCAAAATACAAGCCATGGACGTTGCTACAGCAGTGCCCCAGCACACTGCGAACGAAGTGAAGCCCCAGGCAGCAAGCCAGCCGCCGGCCCCGGCGGTCGCAAAGGCAACAAACGAAAATGGTGTACAAACAGGAGGAGCAAAAAAATCAGAAACTAAAACTGGCTCTGGTGCGTACCCGCTGCCCGGATATGCTAAAACGCTAATGGATGGGATCGGTTGTGTGTGCACAACAACTAATTTCTTGTTTACTCTCAATGCAGAATCAACACATTCACATTCCAATATGGTGGCTGAAAAAGTGGAGGAGAAATCTAAGGTCGAATTGTCCACTGAGAAAGTATTGATTACCATATGCAGTGCCGATCGCAAGACCAAGAAGACCTTCATGTCCTTGCCCTCGAGAAAGGATGTGATCGACAAGGGTAAGTAGTGAAATCTTTTGTTGGCAATTTCTTCAATTTACTGAAAATTAATTAATTTATTAGCGCACAAGTATGGCCTGATGGGCCACACCATTGTCCTGGAGACCAACGGTTGCGAGATTTGCGAGGATGAGGTCCTCCTGTTTGCAGCCAAGGAGAAGATTTTGTTAATGCTGCTGGCCGAATCGGATGAATATGTTATTCTGCCTCCGCCCTCGCCACTGAGCCGATCGGAGCGTGCTGGCAGCTCGGTGGATCCCAGCTTCTATGCCAACAACAGTATTGTATCGAATGCCAATGACTCGACCGTCTCTAACGACGAGACTCTGTCGCTGGCCAGCGTTACGCCCAGCAATTCGAAAACGTCGGCGCTGTTCAAAGAATTCTCGATACCTTGGAACAAGGTACCCAACGACATAATGAAATTGCTGAGAGGAAAGAGCAGCCTGGGCAAGCGCCTGAACACCTTTGGCAATATCCTTGTGGAGGCATTGCGGGAACGCTCTGTGCATATACCCATAAAGGTGTTTCGGCAAGTGGCCCAGCAGGCGGCCGACAAGTACCCAGACTCGCTGATGGAAAAGGATCGCGAGGGCCAACTGCTGGCCACCACGCCCCAGTCGCTCATCTCGAAAATGATCAATCGCAACAATGCCCTGAACAGGCCACAGAAGCGAGCCAGCGGCTCCAGCAACTCGGGCAACTTTGAGATACACATCACCAGCAAGAAGCGCAAGTCCAGTGTGGGCGGCAGCTCAGCGCCCAATGGCGATGCTAAAGCACTGGCAGCCAGCCGGGATCTGGAGGAAAAGAAGGAGCTGCTCATCTCTAGCTACCGCGGCAGCACCACTGTCGAGCCAGCCACCATAACGGAGTACATGAAGGAATGCTTCCCGCTGCAGCGCGCGTTCTTCAACAACAGCGAAAAGATACCAGACATCACATCCATCAAGGACAACTGGCCGTATATCTTTAACAAGGAGCTGCTGTACCAGCACTTTGAGCTGCTCATGTCAATCGACCCGCGGGTGCTAGAGAAGCGCTTGACTGGCGAAAAGGAGCGCATATTCAGGGTCTTCAAGGCTTCGAAGAACAAGAAGATCAGTGCCCTGGAGGAGAGCAATGCCAATTTGTTGCGTGGCCTGGCCTACCATTTCAACGAGGATCCCGATTACATATTCAAGCAGCTCGACAAGGGCCCCTATCCCAAAGACGTGCTGCAGCAAATGAATCCAACAAATGCCCCCTGGGTGGCTCTAGTCAGTGAGTATAACAAACATTAGCCAAACCGAAAGCAAAGGACTAAGTAAATCTATTGCAGATACGCCCATGACGACAGCCGATGGTGTGGAAGCGCAGTGTGAGGCCATGGTTTATATTGAGGGCCAGATAATGGCCCAATTTACCGCCAATGATGGCGATCTGCCCGACATAATTGCCCAATTGATCTGCTACTATTATACCTTCAACATGATGTACCCCAAGGAAGCCAATCAAACACTCGAATTTATGGTCCTCTACTTTCTGCAGCATGCCCCCGAGCAGGCGCGCAGCTCCAAAAAGCCACTCACGACCAACAGCAAATTCAATCAGCTAATCGCCAAGTTGGCCAATGCAAATGGCTGAAAATGCATAATCTCGCATCAGCAGCAGCCGCATCAATCTCCACTTCCGCAATCTCTGGAAGCCTCTCTGCATGGAGTACACGGAGTCTCATTTTGTTTAGTTTATTTATTATTTTTGCAGACCTATTCCACATGTATTTGTACCACTATGTCTAAGATTTACATAAAGCGTGTAGTAATGTTGTGTATACATTTCTGATTTTGTCCCCCAACCCACACACGCCACGACTAATATTCAATGCTCTGCTTCTGGAATGGGTTGTTCCTCATGGCATCCGTCAACTCCTTTTTCGGCTTGACCTTCTGCACCCTTGCTTTCTGCTGCACTGGAGCCGGATGTGCTGGCGCCTTCACGCCATTTCTGGTCAGATCTGCGATGGCAGTTTTTAGGCTCGCTTTCCGACTGGCCATGGAAACGCCGAGCGTCAGCTTTCTGCGATAGAAATCGCGTTCCTTGAAGGTAAAGTTCTCGGTGTTGGTTGGCAATTCTCCCTTGGACCGATCGCACTCTTCAAATGTGGACTTTCCAGTCGGCATCGCAGGCTGTTTCTTATTCTTTCCCTTCTTTTTTTTGGACGGAGTGGGTTCATCTTCAAAGGATTCCCACGTGGTTGTCTCGTTGCGCGTAGCCTCGATTATGCTTCGCCTGTGGTTCTGCTCCCGTTGCCTTCGGAACTCCTTCGCCTTCTCACTGTCCGCATCCAGTCGGTTTGCGTAGCCCGCCTCCGCAGCATCGTCTATAATATCGCTCTTCACATGTTGCCATGGTTGGGCTGTCTCCTCGGGATCGGGAAGGGGTGCCGGTGCCCTGTTGCGTACAAACGGAGCGGGCTTGAACTTCTTCTTGCCCCATGATTTGGTGCGATTCTGCAGCATCTGTTTGTGGTGGTCAGGTTTCCCCATTTTCCCCAAATTCTTGAGTTTGATTTTGAACGTGTGTTTACTTGACAGAACAATAGAGAAGGGGCTGGGGATAGAAGAACGTTTCACTCGATATTTCAATAGCAAAGTCTATCGATACTTTGTTAGCATCGACCATCTCCAAGCAGCACAACACGTGCGCCGGTGGTATATATGGTAGACGAATATTTTCAATCTGCCACTTTAAGAGTATGCAAAACGGACAAGGACATTCCAGCTCGAATCACCCAGTCCAGGACAAGTATCATTTTTTCTCCGGTGCCCCACAAAACCCAGCCATGCGCAGCCGTGGAGGCCGTGGCGATCGTTTCAACAGGCAGAACGGCGGAAATGCGGACAGACAAGGGAATGGACACCACAACAATATGAATCAAGGACGTGGACGTGCCCGCGGCCGTGGGCGTGGCGGTGGCCGTGATGGGGACCACTCTGATTCGTTTTCCAAATTCCGAGACCCTCATCAGCAGCCAGACCAAAGCAATGGATTGCATAGAGCAAACAATGGAGGAGGAGGCAGTGTCGACAGTCGTAGGAATCGCAGATCTCGTGATTCGAGAGGTGATAATCGCAGAGGCGGTCGTAACGGTAGCTGGGGTGCCGCCCCACAGGAGCCCATACCTAATGCTGTCTTCTACTACGATCCTAACGTACCACAGCCACCAGTGATGGGCGGTGGCTTGGAGGTGCCACTGCTGCCCGAGACTACCATGAACTACCTTCCGTTAGCGGCAGAAGCACCTGCAGAGCCGCCTGTCATCGAAGCGAAACCGACAGTGCCACCTGCTGGCGTTAACATCAAGAAGGAGAAGAAAGAATCGCGAGCTGTGACGCCTGCACCGAAGCCTGTCGAAAAGCCAGCAGAGAGCAGCGAGGAGAGCTCTTCTAGCAGCTCTGACGAAAGCGTAGAGCCTGGTGAAGTGGTCAAAGCGCAAGCTGTGAAAACGAAGGTTGAGACACCAGCGGCCAAGGCACCTGCTTCCTCTTCGTCTTCCTCATCTTCCGAGAGTTCTGACACTGACAGTGATGAGAGTCCGCCGCCAGCTAAAAGCAAAGCTGCTTCAAAAGAGAAGGATGCGAGTGGCAAGACATCTAAGAAAATGAAGAAAAGCCTATCCCAGGAGGATGTAATTTGCCTGGGCACTCAGAAGCGACACTACACCATAACCGATGAGGAAAGCAGCGGGGAGGACGAGGATGAGCAGAAGAAATCCAGCAAAAATAAAAGCAAGCAAAAACCCGACACTGGCTGTGCAATTTGTGACAAGAAGGTAAGAGCCGCCTCCTGCTTTAGTTGCAGAAAAATTTTGTTTATTTTGTTTGCGTTCTTATTTCCCACAGGGCCACACATCCTTCGAGTGCCAGATGATCTGCAGGAACTGCTCGGCCCAGTATCATGGCCTGAAGGACTGTCCAAAGCCACCGAACTTGAACATTGCTCTGCAGTCATATTTGGAGTACACCATGCAGCAGATGGCCGTGTTCAATGTGGAGCAGCAACGTTTTGCCGTGCCAGCACTGGCAACCGCCACCCTCTCGTCCACGCCTGTCAAGTCGAAGAAGGAGAAAAAGACTCCCAAGAAGACCAAGAAAACGCCACAGAAGAAAATGAAGCTGGAGGCCGCCGATGATGACGATGACGACGATGATGACGATGATGACGACGAAGACGACGACGACAATGAGGAGGCAAGCGAGAGCGATAGCGAAGATTCTGAACCATCCAGTGATGAACCAGCGCCCGTCTCTAAGCAAAAGCGAAAGCGGAATACAAAGCAGACAAATCCTCAAACTGCCACAAATTTACCACCACAAGCGTTTCCATTTCCCATTATGGCTGCTGGCGCACCTTACAGCTCCATGATGTATCCATATGGGGCGCCCTTTAGCTTTCCTAAACAATAATAAGAGTTACAATAGTTGGAAGTAGTTTTTTAATCTGTTGTATAAATGATTTTGGGGCATATTCCCGCCACCGTGCTGTAAAAATCTTCAAAAATACAAGCAATGATCCATTTATATATCTGAAAATCATCTATATGTGTGCTAAATTGCTCTCAAGAAATCTGTTGGAGTCAATCTGTGTTGAAGTTCTCAATTTGGCAAGTAGATACTGAGAATGTATTTAGATCAGCTTGGAAAAAATAATTTTAATATTCATTAATAAAAAGAGGAAATTTTGTCTTTTGAACAATCTTGAAAGTCGATACTATCGATAGTGAACCGAAACAATCGATGGTCGGCTTTTTTTCAACCTGCAATAGTATCGAAGGCGCTATCGATGTCTCTCCCAACCCTACTGACCAGCTGTTGCATGTGTTTATAGTTTTTATTTTTGGTGTAGTGCACAATATTTTTATTAGATTTAAACAGTTATATTGGTTAAGTTGAGGTGAGTGTTTCCTATAATATATCACATGCAATTTAAACAAGGCATATTGATTTGGCCAAAACATACAAATATTGTGTACCCTGGGTTCGTGGGTTGTTGGTCGTTTCACGCGGTTTCATGTGAGTCTTTCAATATTAACTATTCACGGACAATTTATACAAGTACGTTTTACCAAAAACATAGAACGTTGGACACTGAGGGTTCTCTTCTAAGTCGTGCAAAGGGCAAACTGCTCACGCTCCCGCTCTGAGCCGCAGCTGCAAGGATGGTTGAGCCCGCGGGGATTGACGCCTGGCTTGAGCATGGTCTGTTGCAGATCCGTGATGACCTCACTGGACATTACGCTAACGGCCAGCTTGATTATCGACTGATAGTTGAGCGGATTGGCCGCATAGCTGAGAATGCCGCGGGCTATTTGCTGGAACAGATAGTCTCGGTCCAGCTCGAGCAGCTCCTCCCTCACGTCCATCATGCGATTCTCGAAGTGACACTGAATGGCCGCAAAGACCGTCTTGTCCAGGCCGACCAGCAGCTCGCGCTTAAACTTCACCAAATAATGCTCAATGAAGACGATCTCGTTGCGATTCAAGTGCGGCAATCGCACCTTGTCCTGAATCATCTGCTCGCCAATCTGGCTGAGCACCAGCGAGGCCAGGGATCCAGCCGGCGTGGGCCGACGCTCCGAGCAGGAACGTACATCCACAAACGGATGGATCTCGTAGCTGCCCACGCCAATGGTGCTGGCCACACCGCTGAAGGAGACGTGCGAGGCACGCGAGTTCTTTTGCGGAATGCAGGGCTTGGCCACCGTGGGGCCGAGGTCCATGCCATTATGATCCCTGCCAAAGTTAATGATCTGGGATGCTTTCTGCAAGAAAAATGATATTTCATATCCTGGAAAGTCTGCGTGGAAAGCCCCTAACAACTTACATAGTTGACATATTTCTTGGCGTCGCAGAGGAAGTCGCGAATGCGCGAAATCAATATTTTGAGGGCGCATTCATCCTCGCTGAGGTCTTCTGTGAAGCCAGTCAGTATGTAGTTGAGTATGTACTGGGCCGCCTTGTAGATGGGATCGTCTGGGGCAAAGGTCACCGGCGAATGGCCCTCCATGGCAATGGCTGCATTGAGGGCATAGCAGAGCTCGCTGTCCAGCAGGCCATCAAAGGTTGCCTGGTACTCCTCGCAGAACGATGGCTGCACGCGCTTGGGCTTCTTCTTGCGCTTGCGGCGCTTTGGCTTACGCTTGAGCACCGTCTGGCGTGTGCGCTCCTTGATTTCATCCTGGATCTGCTTCCATTTCAGTTCGTATTTCGCCTTGTGCTGCTCAATGAACATCCCACGCTCCAGCTCAACTTCCTGGATCAGAATCTGAAGGCGTTGCTGGTTGGCAATCCGCTCGTCCAGGCGCTTCTTCCAAAAATGTATCTGTCCCTCGTTGTTCTTCGTCATGCGCTGCTTCTGCAGCAGACGCATGTTCTTGTTGAAGCGATCCTTCTTGAATTGGAACAGTTTCTTCTGCCTGATGAGGTACTTTCTCTGCAGATCTTGGCACAGGCTGATGTGCGCCTGCACCCGCATGTTTGTCAGCATCTTGCGATGCTCCAGCAGCAGGTTCTGCATGGAGGCCAGGTTCTCCAGTCGCTTCATCTTCTCCAGCGTAATGTTGGACAAGTGCACCATGCGTTCGTGCTTCTCCATATCCAGGCGCATCTTTCTGGCCACCACCTCCTCATAGCACTGATGACGGGCCGCCAGATTGAGATGATCGCGCTTGGTGATCGCCTCGGCATTGGCTATCAGCAGGCGATCATGATGCTCTGCCTCGCGACGCTTGTACGCGTGCAGCACATAGTACAGCTGTGACTTGTGCAGCTCCTGGCGATGCTGGTTGAAGTCCTTCAGATTACATATCACATCATTCGTTTGGGTGATCTCGCCGTTCTCCCTCAAACGCTTCAGATTGCGCTCGTTGGAGTAAAAGGTTCTCAGATTCGAATCATGCAAGGGATTGTATTCAGGTATGGCCGCCCCAGTCACCGATGAATCAAACTCCTGTTTGTCGCTTTTGAACTATAAAATAATAGCGAAAATAATTAATTAGTTGGGACTCCTTTCATCACTCACCGATTGTCCAATTTTGTTCTTGGAAAATATCACTTGATTACCGGGACACTTAAGCATCGGCAGCTTACAGTTGAGCGGAATGAGCTCCCAACCCGGCAGACTGTTGATCGGCAGCCCCGTCTTATTGCTGATTATCTTGAGGAGTGCCGCATTGCCCGCCACGTTGTTGCGGCGCGGCATTGACAGTATATCGATCATAATGCCGCGCTTTGCTTACGTTATCTTTGCCAAACTAATATTTTTCTGTTAGTAACATTTATTTTATGAACGTTTTGTGTGTGCGTAAAAAAAGTTGTTTTCGAATAGGGTTTCAAATTTATCCGAGTACTGAGTAACTTTGAAATCTAAACGAATTGCCTACTAAAACGATTTGTGTGTGTCTATCGTTTGGGATAAGCTTTATCATATACCCTGACACTGGGTACTATATAAATAACAAATTGATCTACACACTGCATCCAGAAGCGCGTGCGGATTTCGTTATTGCATTCTTGTCGAAGAGTATCTCTCGGAGCAATGGAAGCCGTAGCAGCAGACA